AAATAAAGTTTACAAAAAAAAAAAAAAAAACAGGAAAAAAAAGGAAAAAAAATCGCCACTAATTTACAAAGAACTCCTGGCAATTGTTTAGAAAATGAATGAAAAATCCATTTAAAATGTCCTATTTTCTATAGTCTATTGAGAGCATTAGTGAAAATAAAGTGTAACTATTTTAGAGATAGTCACACCTACTTGTCGTTTTCAGGCGCAGTTTCGATTGTAAATTTTTGGTTCCAGCTCGAGTTTATAAGCGTTGTAATGAAACACAGAAGAACATAAAATTTTACGATTTTCTGTCATTGTAAGATAAAAGCTGTAACTGCTTCACTTATATGACTACATATTTCCAGTTTAAATTTTTTTTTCGAAAATGACACTTTCATGCGTTTAATCTATATGAAGATAATAATAATTATTCTACTTTCTATACTTTATTATTATTTTGTTAAATATTTATTATTTATTAATTATTATATATTATTATTACTATTATTATTATACACTGAAAAAAAAATTTAATTGATTCAAATAACCTATCAATTGACCATTATCAATTATATATTTACTTTTGAATCAAATAATATTTATTTGATTCAATTAAATGGTATTTGAACCAATAATTTCAGTATTTGAATAAAATACCATTTAATTGACTCCAATAAATATTATTTGATTCAATTAAATATTTAATTGATAATAGTCAATCAATCGGTTATTTGAATCAAATAAATTTTCTTTTCAGTGTATATTATATTATAAATATAATTTCGTTTTTAAATTTGAATTCAGTTTAAAATAAATATATATGGAATTTTTTTTATGCTTATTTCAAAATAATTTTCTTATAGGTACTTATTTAAAATGAATTATTGAAAAATAAAAAATATTTTTACTAATACACAGACAAAGAAAATTTACTTGATTCAAATAATAAGTGATTTCTTGTCTACTTTCAAATAAATATTTACTTGCTTCAAATAATTTTTATCTAACTCAAATAAATGGTGTTTACTTGAAACAATTAAATTATTAGTTCAAATACAATTCAATTGACTGAAATAAAAATTATTTGATTCAAGTAAATATTTATTTGATAATAGACTAGTAATCGGTTATATATGAGTCAAATAATTTTTTTCACTGTATTATTTATTTAAAAATAAATTTTGTATATTTCTTTAAAAATTCATTTTTTACATTTACTTAAAAATGCAATTTTGCTTCCTCATAGAGGAAGGATTGTATTAGCAAAATTTTTGATTGTGATTTTTTGACATATTTACAAAACTTTTTTTCAGTATACCTATTCTTTTAGTACTTTATGCACGAATGGGAATTGCCAGTATAAATGTTATAAATAAATATAAAAAATTTTTTATGTAATTTTATCTCAGAAGTCCAAAAAACGGATTTTAAAAAATTGTCCCGATGTGTGTGTGTGTGTGTGTGTACTAACATTACCAGGGTGGCCGCAAGATTGACTTTATCAATTTCCCTGACATTTTACTGACATAACAAAGAATTTCCCTGACAACAATTTTTTTGTTTAGAGCAAAAAATGTATTGCATGACCGTCTTAATTTCTTTAATTGCTCTGACAAAAAAATTTTTCCTGACATTTCTCTGACTTTACTGACAAAAAATTTTTTTTCCTGACATTTCCCTTCTTCTTTAATTGCCCTGATAAAAAAATTTTTCCTGACATTTCCCTGACTTTACTGACAAAATATTTTTTTCCCTGACATTTCCCTGACTTTACTGACATGTGGCCACCCTGATTACATTTGCCTCAATATCTCAGAACGAGAAAGAGCTAAAGGCCTCAATTTTTTTTTAAATTGTAGGTCTCTCCGGGGGACATAAAATGAGAGTATTTTCAGCCCGATTCATAAAGTTTAACTATATTTTTTTTGCATTTTTCATTTTGTAAAAAAACGTTTTTTGGCCTTAACTTAAAAAAAAATGTTAGGACACCTATAAATGTTTTTCTTTAGTTTTGTAGAGTTTTTTCAGACGCATCTTTTGAGCCTTCATTGAACATTTTTTGTCTATATTAGCCGGAGATATTAAAGTTTTAAAAATCTAAATTTTTCGAAAATAATATACTTTTTTGAAAATTTTGTTGAAAAATATAAAAGTAACTTCAAAAGTATCATTATCAACTTGTAGAGCATTAAAAACGCTTCGATTGACATATTTTTGAACCTGATTCGGTCAGAAATTATCTAATTATTGGTATTTGAAATATCAAAAATTGTGGAAAATATCATTTTTTCAACATTCTTGTTTATTAACTTATGTGTAATTATTAAACTATTATAACCATCTTATAGAATATATAAAAAAATATTGTTTGGACCAAGATTTAATGATTTTTAACTCTTTTATAAAAAGTAATTCTTATATTTCAATTATTATTATTTCTATGAGGAAGCAAAGTGTTCATGAAATGAACACCAAAATTATAAAAATGTACAACGTGGCAGTGGTTTTTTTTTATTTATTCATTTACAATATTAGCGGGACAAATCCTTTCGTGCAATTAGAACTTATATAAAAGTAAAAATAATAATAATAATAATAAATATGAAGCTTTGACTTGAAGATTTGATAAATTTGCTTTACGTCTAAAATAATCTTTCACCGAGTGATAAATTTTATTTCTAATAAAAAAATAAATTTTTTTATACTTGAAAATTATGAACAAAAAGTTTTGAACGTTCAAATGAACGAAATATTTTTTGTTAAAAATATTTTCATAGATTATTGATTACAATTCAAATTTTACATTTAGAAACATTATAATTAATTTGCTTAATAGTGACGCAAAATTATAGTAATAAAAATTTAATTTGAAGAAGAAATAAATAAATTTCGTTCATTTGAACGTTCAAAACTTTAACCTCCTTGAAAATCAAAATTTTTTTATAAAAATACTTATAAATATGATGTCTTTTTGTATTTATTTTAACATGAATTTATTTTTAAATTTATTTGTAGATTTATTTAAAAATGAAATCTAAATTGATATTTTTAGTGATTAATTATTTTAATGCCAAATCATAAAATATTTAAATAAAATACTAATACATATATTATATTTATTTTTATCAATATTATCTGCAGTAATTAACTAGTCATATTAATGTTATTGTTTTGATTATATAGAATTATAAATGACTCTATAATCGTATACTAATCTATAGCAAAATGGAATATTCGTTTAGTTATTTATGATTATTATTATTCGAGTAGTAATGAGACACAAATGTCAGTTTTAAAATAATCGTATATAATATTATATCTATTTAATTATAATTCCCTGCGGACTATTGGACTCATGAAGGGCATTAAATTTTATTGAATTTACTGAAATATTATAACAGACTTAGAAAACATTGTATTAATAAAATATTATGTTACTGGATAATTATTAGTATTAAGAGAAATGGAAATTGAAAATAATTTGAAGTATATATTTATAGTTTTATATTTTATTTTTCTATCTTTATTTCATTTATTTTTCTTTTTGCTTCATTTTATTTTTAATTTTTTTTATTACTTATTTTTTATTTAATTTAGACGGCAAAGAGGTGCAGCAATTTATTTAAGAGAAATATATGGGATGAGCCCTTTCGTAGAGAAGAACTCATAATTTAATTTAACTTTTTTTTTCTTATTGTTATTTTTATTGTTTTTGTTTATTTATTATTTTCTTTAAGTTTTGTACGGACAACAATGTTTTTAACAAAAACCTTATAAACTAAAACTAATTATAAAACAAACGAACTGTAATACTGGCTGAAGTAAAAGAAAACAAAATTATTTAAAAGAGAAAATTATATATTTCTCAGATTACTGATAAATTTATTTTCGTTTAGCTCAAAAAAAGTCCATGACATAAGAAAAATTATTTGCTTCTATAGATACAAACATGTTTTTTATATTTTATTTTTCTTATTATTTATTTTTTTGTATTTTATTTATTTACCTATGTGTTTTATTTTTTTAAATTTATTTTATATTTTATTTATCTTTCTGTCATTTTTGATATTCTATATTTGGATTTATTTTTTTTATTTATTTTCATTTTTATTTAATATTTAATATTTTTTTTTGTATTTAACTTTTTCGATTTTATTTTCTTGTTATAAAAAATTTTTCAATTTTCTCTTTTACATAATTATTATTTAAACATTTCGCAAAATAATACAATTTTGTATTTGAGAAAATTGAAAATTTTAATTTAGCATATTGCATCCAAAAAAAGAATTCAATACAAAATTTTTTATGTCAGGCACGTTAGTTTTGAACTTTCAGTTGCAGAGCATGGCAAATGTAGAATGTTTATACTACAAAAAGTAAAAAAAAAAAAAAATGTCGAGAGAATCTAGGCCAGTGGAAAATGTTGAAAAAATCTGTAAAAAGTAGTTGTGAATGAAGTTTGAGAATTTAATGTAGATAAAAATTCGTTTTCAACTGACGCTATATTTATATCGTTTTATTTTTTTTATTTATATAGATATATTTTATTTTTTATTTATGTTTTATTTTTATATATATATATTCATATATGTTTTATTTACACACATTTATATTAATTTCAGTTATAAATTATTGATTTCAGAATTTTCAAATATTATATCACAAAATCTCATTATTGTTTAAATTTAAATTAATAAATTTTTATTGGAATTTTCTTTATTCTCGTTTGAAATTTTTAATTTTGATTTTTCATAGTTTTATAGTTAAATTTTTATATTTTTTATCGTCACATTGTTAATAAATTACGATATTTATATTCGTCAAATATTATCACAAAATTGCATTATTGTTTAAATTTTAATTTTTATCTAAATTTTCTTTACCTCGTCGTTTGAAACTTTTTTTCATGTTTCATTGTTTTAGATAAATTTTTATATTTTTTATAGTCACGTATTTAATGAATTACGGTATTTATATTCAATATTGTACTTTAAATAATATATTTTAATTTTCAGTTGCGTGAAGAAAATGGAGAGTTTTTTTACGGAAGGATTTTAAAAACGTTCAATGCATCTCAACAGTAATATGGTATTTATAACTTAAATATAATCTTTTATTTACGTATTTATTTATTTTTGTTTTATTAGTTTATTTCTCTTTTGCTGCATTTTATTTACTTATTTATTTTTTGATGTATTCTATTTCTTTTTTTTTCCTTATTTTATTTATTTTTTGCTTCATTTTATTTGTAATTTTTTATTTATTTTTTTTAATTGATAACTGAAAAGAATCACGACCTCCCTGAAGAGGAGGTCGGAACCGACTTCGAAACGTTGGAAATAAAAACTAAGATGGAAAGAAGAAAATATTATTTTTTATTTTTCTAATTCTTTTCTTTTTTCAAAATAAAAAAACAGAATTTCTTAAGTAAAAAAAGGGTCAAAGAAAATTTATTAAATTTATTTTTATTGTTCATTTTATATATTATTTAATTCAAACAGTCAAAGTAGTAGGTATAGTGTTTTATTCTTTTTTTAAATCCTTATTGTGCTGTATACCTATAGATTTTCTCTGCAAGTTATTCAAAAAAATAAAAGAAACAAGAAAAAATGTTTCTACATTATTTTTTTTAATTAAAAGCGTTGACGTACACGAAACCTTATTGAATTTGTTTTAATAGCGATTTTTTATTTGATTTCTCAAATAGTATATAACATAAAATGTGACCGCTTTGAAAGCTTTATTTCCTGCTCGTAAATTCGCAGAAAGCAGAGCGTAACAGTTTAAAGTGAATTGACTTGCGGATTGAGGTCACGAAAGACCACTATAAAAATCACTATCTTCATGGTGCAGAAATGTTTAAGAAAAAAAAATATAATAAAGAACGAGAAATAGAATTGCGTCAAAATTTCCATAGTAATTAACTGACACAATCGAATACAATATAGAAAAGAAAAGTTTTTTAACGAAATATTCCATCATTTCTAAATATATCTGTCGATTTTTATTCATTTTTAATTAAATGAAATTTTAATATTTTACTATTTTTATTTTGAATTTTTTTTTTTTTATTTTTATTTCTATTTAATTTTAATTTTACTATTAATTTTGATTATTTTATTATAAAATTTTGTTTCTAATTTTCTAATTTAAATATATATATATATATATATATATATATATATATTTTCCATAAAGTAAAAATTATTTCCTTTAATAACTGTTATTACAAAAAAAATCAGAAACCTATTTTTTATTATTCATTATATTCAATTTATTGAAGATCTGAATAAAAATGTTTCTTTCATTTCGATGAAATTATAAACTTTTGCGAAAAGTTATAAAACTCCTTCTCTTTCTTTCTTTTTGATGGAATAAAAAAAATATTCATGAACAATATATTTAAAAGCGTAGATAAAAGCATAGTGGATAAGAGGTTTTTAAATTAAACAAAGAACAAAAGTTAGAATTCAATATTATTCACAGAAGAATATCTTTTTTTTAGAAGGATATAACATTGATTTTCTCATATATATATATAATAATATATCTCTCTCTGAATAACAAATTGATTCATTTACATTCAATATTAGACTCTATTACATTAATAAATTATTTCATATTAAAATAAAAAGACAAAGAATTGTAAAATAATTATCCTTTTCAGAGATTTGAATTTAATATTGATATTATATGTACGTTTATACAATTGTCAATGCACACGAATTGCGCGCGGTGTTTCATGGGCCTTTATTTCGACTTTTGGAATATTAAGCCGTTGAAATACATCTAATGTGTCTTCGACAAATTTATCCATCATTAAATTTGTATGTTTTGGTGTTGGCGCGAGTCGCAATTTTTCTTCTCCCTTGGCAACAGTTGGATAATTTATAGCTTGTACGTAATGTCCTTTTTCTCGTATCAAGGCATCTGCTATTTGCGAGCACAAAAGTGGATCTCCGATCTTAAAAGGAAAAACAAGTTAAACATTTTATTCAATTATTATTCTTTAAATACATTCAAATTTATTGCGGAAAATAACAAGAAAAGTAATTAGATAAAATTACTAATTAAATTCCAGACCAATTTTATATAGTAATTTATAGTTCATATGCAACAGTATTTTTTAAGTTAATTATGTTTTTAATTATAGGTAGTACAAATTTTATAATACTGTTATAGTAATTTAATAGTAATTTTACAGTTATTTTTATTATACCTAATATTATAGTAATTTCATAATTTTACAGTAATTCTATATAGTAATATTATATATATATTTAAGTGCTTTCAAAAATTATTAAAATTTTTCACAAGAATTCAATTATTTTCCAATTATTAATGACATTGTACATGAAAGAATTAAAGTGTTTTCAAAAATTTTAATAAAATTCTTTTCAAACATTTTAATAAAATTTTTATTTTGAAATAATTCAATTGTTTTCAATAGAAATTTAATCGAATTTTTCGAAGGAATACATTTTTTTAAACAAAGGAATCATTCTCATATTACGTCACAGACTTAGGGGACCTGTGGATTTTATTAAATTCTTTAAAAAATAATTAAAATTTTACTTTATTTAAATTGTATTGTAAGAAATTCATAGAAATTTTTGAAATTAATAATTTAAAAGTATAATTAGTTAATAAGTTAATAAGTGAATTATTTCAATTTTGAATCTGAAATTATTAAAAAATTGAAAATGATATTTAAAAATAAAATATTTTATAATTTAAATAATAATAATAATAATAAATTTATTAACATTTGCTAGCTATTTATAAGAAACAAAAATTCATTTCGACTTTTTAAAATTTTCCTGTTATGAAAAGAAAAGTTAATTGGAATTTTCTTGCTTTTCTGTGTTTTTTGCTTCCTCGTGAGGAAGCTTTGTAGTCGTTTAATTTACAAAATTTTTAAAAATCCTTTTAACAAATTTTCTTCTATATAGGACTATGTTATATAAGACCCTGAACAATTGTCCGGATGTATGTATGGATGTGTGTGTGTGTATCCCGATTTTTGTGAACGCGATAACTCGAAGAGGTTTTAACGAATTTGGCTAAAATTTACCAGGTATATTTATCATAAAAATATCTCGAAATGGATTGATAAACTTTAAAAAATTCTCAGAAAAAAATTTTTTTTTCAAAAATTTTTTTTTAAGTTGGTTATTGAAGTTAATATATAATAAAATCTTATTCTTTGCATCAAGACGAATCGATTGATATATAAAAAGTATAAATTGTATGAGAATTTACAGAGTTAATCACAATTAAAGCTGAAAAATTCGCATTTTTATCAAAAAATGAGTTCTTTCCGCAAAATTATGTTGCCATATAAGAAAATCTTACTCATTTGTTTCTAAAATCTTATTCTTTGCACCAAGACGGATCGATTGGTATATATAAAGTATATATATTGTATATTTAAATTTATATAACTAAAACCAATTATAGACAAAAAATTTGCATTTTTAATAAAAATTCATTTTTTATTAAAAATCATGAACAAAAAGTTTTGAACGTTCAAATGAACGAAATATTTGTTAAAAATATTTTCATAGATTATTGATTACAATTCAAATTAAAAACTCAAATTTTACATTTAGAAACATTATAATTAATTTGCTTAATAGTGACGCAAAATTATAGTAATAAAAATTTAATTTGAAGAAGAAATAAATAAATTTCGTTCATTTGAACGTTCAAAACTTTAACCTCCTTAAAAATCATGTTGCTGTACAATAAAAAGTTATTATTTATTGGAAAATAATTCAAAAATCTTATTCTTTGCATCAAGACGAATCGATTGATGTATGTAAAGTATATATTCTATTGAAAATTATAGAATTAATTACAATCAAATTTGAAAAATTCACTTTTTTACTAAAAATTTTTTGTTTATTTAGATTCATATTACTGTATAAGAAAATTTTATTCTTTCTATTAAGACGAATGCACTTTATTTTATAAATGTTAAATTGTATTAAAAATGATTTAAAAATGAAATATATTTATCGTTAATTTTTTTGCTGATCGTAAAGAGGAAGCAAAATGTTCATGTAATGAACATCTGGATTTACAACTTGTTTTAAATGCTTTGTATATTTTTTTTATTATGGATAATTAATAAATGATTGAATTTATAAACTGTTTTAACTAAAAACTAACAAAAGGAGTAATGGTAATTTTTTTAATGTTTTGTTTATTTTTATTTTCTTTCCTTTTACTTTTTGTGTATTTTAAAAGAATTTTTTTCGCGCATATTTTATTATTCCTTGTTTTATTTATTTCTTACCTATTCTTTTGCATAATTACTTTCAACAATTTACATTTCTTGGCAAAAACAAATTTACATACAGTAAATTTCATTTCACATTATTTAGGTCATTATTTTATTTTGCATAGGACTACACAAAAATTAGACAAAAATGATGTTCTTTTATTCTCTAAAATTTCGATTTCTAATTTTTATGAAACTTTTTTTTTAACGTGGATAAAGTTCACAACGTTGATAATCTAACGATTGAAAGAAAAACAATAATTTCTACTCGAAAACCGTATTGTTTACAAAGTTTCATTTATTTTTGAATTAGTGTCGAAGTTACAAAAAGTTTTTAGCCAAAAATTTAAAAAGAATAATGTTTACTCTATTAAATCGTTGATTATAAACGTTGTGAACTTCACCTACGTTTATTTCTAATTAAAAGAAATGTTTGTTAATTTTAATTATTTTCGAATAAAAATAAATTATTAAATTATTATTGCAGGGAAAATCAAGAATTTATGAGACTCAAGTCCACAATGTTTTTAAAAACGAAAAATCAAAAAAGAAGGTTCCAGTCTATTTTTTATAAATTTAAAATTTAAAGTTTGTATTTAGTCTGAAGAAAAGTATTAAATTTAAAAACTTATAGGAAAATCGACTGAGACCCAAAAATAATGTATTTTCTGCGAGGTTCTTTATCTCTAATTTTCATGGGCGTAAATTTTTGAGAAATTAATTATTACAAAAGACAATTACGTAAAATTAACAGAAATTTGAAGTCAAAATAAAATAAATCTTTGCATTATTTTCGCGTTTTTGTTTTAAAGAACGTTGCAAACTTCAGTCTCATAATGTTTCTAAAGTTTTGAAAGTTCAAATGAACGAAATTTAAATATATATTAAAAGAAATATATTTCTTTTTCAAAATCGAATTTTATTCTAATAATATTTAATCACCCAATAAAAATAATTTATAAAATTTCAAACTATTTAATTTACATTTTTTATTTTTATTGTGATCAATAATTATTTGAAAATCTATATCTATATTAATAATAGTTATTTAATTTTTCTTTTTCAAATATTTTCAATTTTAAAATTAATTTCATACATAAAAATCATTGAATTCTTGCGAATAATAAAATTTTACATTTTACAAAATTAATTGAATTATTTTGAAGAATTTTATCACAATTTTTGAAAATAATTGAATGTTTTGAAAGAATTTTATTAGAAATTTTGAAAATAATAAATTGGATTCAATCGAAACTTTTATTAAAACGTTTAAAATAATTAAATTTTTTTATAAATTTTATCAAAACTGTTGAAAATATTTGAATTTTATTTAATATTTTTAAAAACAATTGTATTCTTTCGAGTAATTTTTTTAAAATTGTATTAAATATGATTGAATTCCTTTGAAGAATTTTATTATTTATAAAAATTATTGAATTAATTGTTTCCAAGAATTTATTTAAAGTTTAAAAAATAATTGAATTGTTTCGAAAAATTTTATTAACTATTGGAAAAAATTTAATTGAAATTTATTAATAAAAATTTTGGAATATAGTTGAATTCTGTAAAAAGAAATTTAATTTTTTAAGAATTTTATTAAAAAATTGACATAATTAATTTTCTATAAACAAATTGTACCATTTTCTAATTTTTATAGAATATAATGTAATATTTTAAAGAAATTTCTTAAAAATTTTGAAAATAAATTTTGAATTTTTAAAATAAATTTTATAGAGAATTTTAAAAATAATTGAATTGTTTCAATAAATTTATTCAAATTTTAGAAAATAATTAAATTCTTTCGTGAAAATTTATTAAAATTAAATAATTAAATATTATTGCGAAGAATGATATTAAAGTTTTTGAAAATAAATAGGTATAAGTAAACATAAATTTAAATTTGAAAATAAAAAATTTTGTAATTTGCATAATAATAATAAATTGAATATCACATTCCGCGCGTAACATTTGCTAGCATTTAATAATGAAAAGATATTTCGTTCATTTCAACGTTCAAAATTTTTTCAAATAAACATCGTTATTTTTATACTCCTTTTAAGTAGTATCTATTTAAAGAAATAAATTACAAAATAAATTACAAAAATTATTAATAAAAACGACACATTCGGACAACAATGTTACTGTTTATTTTTTAAAAGTCCAACGTTTCGAGTTAATTAATAAACTCCTCTTCAGGGACATATTAAAAACATAAAATATGTATTATTTTAAAAAAATGGAAAGTCAAATAAATAAATTATCATGTGACAACTTTTAAGTCTGTCACATTCAAATAGTCAGACTACACTTAAAAGTTGTCACATGATAATTTATTTATTTTTTGACTTTCCATTTTTTTTAAAAAATGGTTAATATTTTTAAATTGTATGCTTTTTTATTATGTGTTTTTTTAAAATAATTTTTTTTGTTTTTAATATGTCCCTGAAGAGGAGTTTATGATTTAACTCGAAACGTTGGACTTTTAAAAAATAAAAAGTAACATTGTTGTCCGAATGTGTCGTTTTTATTAATAATTGAATTATTCTCGGACGTTAAATTTCTATAAAAATTACAAAAATTAATTCTGAAATAAGTAAATGTTTAATTTGAATTATTTTTCTTCCTTTTTTAGTAATTTTTTTAATAATATTTAAAAGGGGAAAAAATTCCGTTCATTTGGATTTTTAGAACTTTGGAAAAATTGAAAAATACTTTTAAAGAATTTTTGTGAGGAAAACTTCTGTACTCACTTTTATTGGAATGATATGTGAGGATGATGGTTCCAATGGAAGACCGGCAGAATAAAGATTCGACTTCATGTAAGCAACGTTTGCTTGATGTGCCGATCTCAAGGCGCGACCTTCATCCGAGGCCAAAATTTCCACCGATTTCAACGCTCCATACAAAACGGTTGGTGGCAATGAAGTTGTGAAGATAAATCCCGATGCGTAACTTCTCACCATGTCAATTAATTTGGCATTGCCAACAATGTATCCGCCGACATTGCCGAACGCCTTGCCCAATGTTCCCGAGATGATATCCATTTTGTCCAGCACCCAATCTCGCTCACCAACGCCAGCACCAGAATACCCATAAAGCCCAACGGCGTGCACCTCGTCGACAAATGTTAAGGCCCCGTATTTATGAGCGACGTCACACAGTTTCTCCAAGGGACATATGTCGCCCGTCATGGAATGTACAGTTTCAAATGCCACAATTTTAGGCAAATTCCTATCGACCTGCGATAATAATTCCTCAAGATGGTCAACGTCATTGTGCCGAAATATGTGCTTCGGCACACCACTATTCCGTATTCCCTGAATCATTGACGCATGATTGCCGGCATCCGAATATATATGACAGTTTGGAAGACTCTTGGCTAATGTAAATAATGTGGAATCATTTGCCACATAACAGGAAGTAAATAACAGGCCCGCTTCCTTTTTATGAAGTGTCGCCAATCGTTTTTCAAGCATCTCGTGTCCCATTGAATTGCCAGAGATATTTCGTGTTCCACCGGCGCCAGCACCGAATTTATCAAGAGCTTGTCTCACGGAATTTATAACCGCCGGATGACGTGACATTCCAAGATAATCGTTTGAACACCAAACGGTGATTGGTTTTTCACCCCAGGAATACTCCATTGCACTTGGAAATTCCTGAGCGAGACGATTCACCTTTTTGAAGATTCTGAAAAAGAAGAATTTAGTTTTTATTCAGTTTTATTTTTAATCAATACACCTAACTATACAGTGGAAACTAAATATTCTGTTAGGCAATAGACCAACATTTTCATTTTTTAAATTGAATTCGTTCAAAGAATTTTATTAAAATACTGAAAATAATTATTTAATGGGTAAGTCCACTGACTTTCGTCTGAGAGTCGTTGCGACCATATTTTTAAAAAATCTAATTTTCATATATGTGAAACTCGATGATTTTCTGAGTTCATTAATCATAATATTATGTTATAAATTTTATTTCGTTTAATAATATTAATTATCAAAAGTAGGTGGTTCACGATGTGATTTCGTAACCTTAAATTTTTCAACGTTTTAAAAGACGTTATTATTCAAAAACTATTAAATATAAGGGGTTGGTACTTACCACAAATATAAATCTTTCCATTCTGCACGTTCTAACGACCAAGATGAACTAAAAATTCTATTATTTGTGGACGAAAATTGATTTTAAAAATTTTTTTATCCAAAAAAATTACACTTTTTGTATCACTTACAACTTTTTTGTCGGACCTCAAAAAAATTTGGGGTTTTGCAAATATTTCTTTAAGAACATAATTTATCTTCCATTGAAATTTGGCGAAGGTGTTTTTCTTCGTTTTCGAAATAATAATTATAAAAAATTTTGTATGCAAAAAGGTTAATTCTAAGACTTGAAGTTGATATTGACACTAAAATAACAATGCTTGTTGTTTATTTCAAGCATTATAATTAACCTTTTTGAACAAAATTTTTTATAATTATTATTTTGAGAACGAAGAAAAACACCTTCGTCAAATTTCAATAGAAGATAAATTATGTTCTTAAAGAAATATTTGCAAAACCCCAAATTTTTTTGAGGTCCGACAGAAAAGTTGTAAGTGAAACAAAAAGTGTAATTTTTTTGGATAAAAAAATTTTTAAAATCAATTTTCGTCCACAAATAATAGAATTTTTAGTTCATTTTGGTCATTAGAACGTGCAGAATGGAAAGATTTATATTTGTGGTAAGTACCAACCCCTAATATTTAATAGTTTTTGAATAATAACGTCTTTTAAAAAGTTGCAAAATTTAAGGTTACGAAATCACATCGTGAACAACCTATTTTTGATAATGAATATTATTAAACGAAATAAAATTTGTAACATAATATTATGATTAATGAAATCAGAAAATCATCGAGATTCACATATATGAAAATTAGAATTTTTTAAAATATGGTCGCAACGACTCTCAGACGAAAGTCAATGGACTGACCCTAATTAATTCAAAGAATTTCTTTAATTTTTTTAATCGCGCTAGTTTTACGCGAATTATTTTCTAAAATTTTAATAAATCCTTCTAAACAATTCCATTATTTTTTTAAATAGTAAAATCTTTACAAAAATTCACTTATTTTCAAAACAATTTTAATTGAATTCCTCTGAAGAATTCAATTTTTAAAAAAAATTTTAACACATTTCGAAAAAATTCAATTATTTCCAAAAACTTTAATAACTTCTTTGAAACAATTCAACTATTTTTATAAATACTAAAATTCTTTCCAAGAATTAAATTATTTTTAATCCAATTTAAATGAAATTACACAAAAGAATTTAATTATTTTCAAAAATTTCCATAATATTCAATTTCGACAAGAATTTAAAATTCTCTAAATTTTTAAATAGGTATATTCGTCAAAAAAAAAATAAAAGCGAATTCAATTATTTTCAAAAAATAATAAAATTTGCAATATAATTTTAATAAAATTCTTCTTCACAAAATTCAATTGCTTTCAAAATTTTCAATTAAAATTATTAAAGAAACTTCATTAGTGTAAAAAAAAATTCAAAGAAATTCATCAAAAGAATTTAATTACGATTTTTAAAAATTTTAATACAATTCTTCGCGAGAATTCGTTTCTTTTCATAAATAATAAAATTCTTTGAAGGAATTCTATTATTATCAAATTTTTTGATAAAATTCTTTGCAACAATTCGATGATTTTCAATACATTAATTTTAAAATTGAAAATATTTGAAAAGAAAAATTATAAAAAAGTTAAGAAACAAAAAAGCAAACAACAGATAACTTCAAACTGCGAACAGATTACCGAAACATGTACTTTATTATTATTAATTTTAATAAATAATTTATATTAATAATCGTTATATTCCTATAAACTGTGAACAGTTTAAAGTTATAGTTGTTCTTGATAGCTTTTTTCTTTCTTAATTTTCTTGATAAGTTTTCTTTTTACATAAGATTTAAAATTTTTAAATTAATGTATTAAAAATAAATATATTATAGCATCCAGCCCCTCAATTCAATTCTTTCTAAAAATTTTGTAAAAATTGTATTGAAAATAATTGAATTCCTGCGACGAATTCTGTTATTTATGAAAATAATTATTGAATTTATGCGAAGAATTTTAATTAAATTTTTGAAAATAATTGAATTGTTTTCAAGAATTTCTTTAAATTTTTTCTTTAAATAATGGAGTTTTTTTTTAATAACGTTAATTGAAAATTTTTGAAAAATAATTTATTTTTGAGAAAAATTTCTTTAAAGATTTAAAAATAATAGTGTTTGTTCATAATTGCAAAAAAAATTTGATTATTAAATTCTTGCGAAGAATTCTATTGAAATTTTTATAAAAAATTTAATTCTTTCGAAAAACTTTATTAAAATTTTCAAAAATAATTGAATTCTTATAAAAAATGTTTTCAATACTTTTGTATTAATAATTTAATTCTTTTAACAAATTTTATTAAAATTGTGTTGAAAATAATTAAATTCTTGAGAAGAATTATTGTAAAGTTAGAAAATGAAAAAAGAATCTGGTTTGAAGAAAATAAAAAAAGGGTTTCAAAAGTTTTTTTTTTTATTTTCTCGAAAGAATATTATTATTCCACTTTCATGTTTACCTACTTTATTGAAAAAAATCTCAGCTTTCGAATAAAAATTATAAAAAATTTTTAATACTTCTATTGAAAAATTATTTTACTCACTTGAACGTTCAGAATTTTTTGTGCATTAATTTTCTAACAAATTGAATTTTGTATTTTTTGAGAATGTACTTATTTGTCTTAATGTCATTTGAATTATTTTAAAGACAATTTTACCTCTTGTAATTTAAATATCTATTGTTAGTAATGTAATAATTTTCTCAAAAAATATGTCATAGTTATGAAAAATCTTTATTAATTTTTCAATATCATCTTTTTAAAAAATTATCATATTCTTAACAAACATAATTATATTCTGATTGCAAGTGATACCTTTTTAATTTAAGGCCGAAAACATTAAAAGTATTTCAATTATTATTTCCATTTGTTGTATTTTAGAATAATTATTTTCCGAATTTTAATAAATTTATTATAAGTCTTTTAGAACAAAAATTTTAATTAATATATTTTACAAAATAAACAATTTATTGTAATAAAAATAGCGTTCGAACAATTCGCTTCGTTAGTATATTATACTTGTGCTTTTAATTAACTTTTTGTTTTTTAAATATTCATTGTTTTCAAAAAAAAAAACCATATGTTGTATTAAAATGTCCCTAAAATTTTTAACGCTCAAATGAACAAAACATTTTTTTTATTCAGATTTTTTTAAAATTACTACACTGAAATGAGAAACAATGTTAATTAACAAATTAAATATTTACTTAGATAGAAATGAATTTTTTTAATACAAAAAATAATATTTTGTAATAAAATTCAAAATGAAAAGAGGAATAAAAATTTTATCGTTTATTTGAACATTATTCGATACTTTAGGAACATTAAAAATATATTAAAGTACTGTTTTCACAATTTTCTTTATTAAAAAAATTGATTTTGAAAATATTTTTGATGAAAAATATGGTAATTTTTGGGAAACTTGAGGTTCACAATATGATTTTAAAGTTCTGAACGTTCAAATGAACGAAATTTATTTATTTCTTCTTTAAATTAAATTTTGACTACAAAAATTTTGCGTCTATCAAAAAAATTAATTATTTAAAGTTTCTAAATGTAAATTTTCAGTTCTTAATTTTAATTTAAATCGGTGATATTTCTGAAAAAATTTTTTATAAAAAATATTTCGTTCAACTCGATTTTTTAAATTTTATTACAATAAACAATTCTTAAAAAATTGTTTAACAATTTAATGTTGTAATATTTTTACAATATTTTTGAACTATAAGTAAAAATAATTATTTTTTGACATTTTTAAATACAAAAATATTTAAAAAATAGAGTTGCATTCCGACAGGTTCGACTGAATATGAATATTACCTATAAGAGTGATCCTTTTTCTTCTTCATTATTTGCTCGTGAAAAAATTTTTCATATTGAAAATTATTTTCCTCCGCAGGTGGCGAGGCGACGTTGATGATGTCCTCCTCCATCGCTGGATTCGCCTCCTTCACGACCTTAGGCTCATTCGAAAGAAAGGGACATTTATTGCCAATGCTTTCAGGAACTTGAGCATTTTCAGAAGCCGTGTTAATCATTCTCGACATCACTGGACAATGTTGAGGAAAATTCATCACAACCGAAGCTCCATAATTTCGAATGTAATTGGGCGATAAACGAGCTAAAAATGGACAAGGCATTGTTCCTGAAAAAGGATTTAGTTATTAGTAATATTTTATTCCAAGGAAAGAAATATTTTACATTTTTTTCTTTTGTCATCTTTTTGAGATTCGAACGTTAAAATGAAAGTCGATTTTTTTATTTTTCGTTAAAATTTGAATTTTGTTAGAAAATTGTTCATTTAGAAAACTAATTCCTTTCTGTAAGTTTTTAATTTATTTATTTTTAAAATTTTATTCTATTAATTTTTTTTCTATTTGACAGAATTTTGCCCAAGGAAATTCTTGAATAGAATTCAAATTCTGATTTTTTGATCCAAATAGAATTTAGTTTTTATTTTCATTTCATAAATAAAATTTTGAACGTTAAAATCGACAAAACGAATTTTTTGACGTCCAATATTTATTAATGTTTATTAATATTGGGCTAATACTAATATTATTATTTCTACTTCAAAATTAAATTTTTTGAATAATAATTTTGTATTACTGTCAAAAAATTAATTTTTAAAGTTTCTAAATGCAAAAATTAAATTTTCAATTTTTATTGAAAACAATTTTATAAAAAATACTAGTAAAATTTTTATAAAATTTTTTTTTTTTCAAAAATTTTAATAAAATTCTTGGCAAGAATTACATTATTTTCATTACAATTTGAATAAAATTTCTTGATAAAATTCAATCATTTTTACAAATTTTAATAAGACTTCCTCAAATGGATGCAATTATTTTCCCAAAGTTTTGATAAAATTCTTTAGAAGAATTCAATTATTTTCAGTAAAATGTTAATTAAATTCCTCGAAAGAATTATCTTTAAATCAATAAAAGTTATATATTTAAAAATACAATTTTTTTATTATATTTTATTTTATTATTTTCATAATAAAGTGTTTCGCAGAAATTCAATATTATTTTCAGTAACTAAAATTTTAATAAAATTTCTCGAAAGAATTTAATTATTTTCAAAAATTTTAATAAAATTCGTCTCAAGAATTGAATTATTTATGTTCCTAAAGTTTCGAACGTTCAAATGAACGATAACCTTGTTTAAATTTTTAATATTTTTCTTTTTTATATAATGATTTTGAAAAATTTTGAAATAGAAAACAAAATTTCGTTCATTTGAATTTTCAAAACTTTATAGAAAAATAATTATTTTCATTAGTTATAAAATTCTTCAGAGGAATTTAATTATTTTCAAAAGAATTTTAATAAAATTCCTTGAAAAAATTAAATTATTTTCAAAAATTTTTATAAAATTCTTTGTAAATTCCTTGAGAGAATTTAATTATTTTCCAAAGTTAGGTATAAAAATTAGAATAAAATTTTTTCAATAAAAATGAATCACCTTTTAAAATTAAAAAATCTACTGAATTGAAAAATACTTTAAATGAACATTTACGTTAGTTTTTAAGTATTAAAAGTTCTAAAAGTAGTTTTCAATTATATTGTATAGTTTTTAATTATGAAAACAATAGTTTGTGAGAAAAATCAAATTAAAAGAAGTAAAAAATATCGTCGTTCATTGTTCGAAACTTTTGGGACATAAGTTTTTTTCAATTTTCAAAAACTGATCCTAAACTGAAAATACTTTTACAAAATTATCGATAACTTTTCTTTTACTGATATCAATAAGACCCGGTGAAATATTTGAATTCGGATAAAAAACAAATGCGTATTTAGTTAAGATACCTTATCGAATAATTTTTTTTTCGGAAATATTTTTCTTTTGAACGTTCAAATTAACCTTCTCTACTAAATATTACATTAAAATTCAAAATTGCATGAAATTACATCAAAACTCAAATTGTATGAAAATACATTAAAACAATATGACTTTTGACACTTGGGGATAGAAAGATATTTTTAATTTTAAACAGCGAACAATTTTTCCAATTTCTTGTATTTTTTCCTTTCCTTTGAGTTTTAATCCAAATTTACTCCAAATATTTAAATTTGGATTAAAACTCAAAGGAAAGGGAAAAATACAAAAAATTGGAAAAATTGTTCGCTGTTTAAAATTAAAAATATCTTTCTATCCCCAAGTGTCAAAAGTCATGTGAGCATGTATATACACTTTCGGATATCTTTTTTTGTAAAAGTTATATAACGTATGATAAACGTCAGTAATGATGATAAAGCAACAATTGCCATATTCTTCCCTGTTCTCCAACTTTTTTTTTCAATAGAATAATTGCATAAAAAATGATTGAACATAAATGTTGCATGAACATAAATTCATATCGTTCACTGAATAATTTATACGTTTCTCATTCAAGTGATAAATGTTAAGTTACTACTCTAAATTTTGTAGTTTATTTGCGATTAAGTGAACAATATCAATATTTCATGCGACTGAACAACCCTTTACAGCTGATGACCTATCTTTCTCTATACACCCACCCACACCCACCCCTTTTAGTTTCTATTTATTTTATTCTTTTCATTTTCAATTCGAAAGTATCAAAACAGTTTCATAATATTAAAGTGAACGTAGCAAGAAAAAAAAAGAGAAAGTTAAATCTGTTGAGAAATATTAATGTTTATTTTATAATATTTTTAATTTGAAAAATATTATTGTTCATGAATATGACTTACTTTTTGCAGATGACGTCGAGTAACGATGACTGCTGTTACGAATACACTGGCGAATCAGCTGTAATGATGATTATAATAATATAATACTTATATGGGACTTGTTTGCAATGATGAAAGATGAAGAAATTCAAGTGGAATATATTCAACCATTCACTGTAAAGGTTTCTCTGTGACTAGATAACCTACAGAGAGAGAATTGTTGGAAAGACAGTGAGAGTAATAATGATTTACTGTTCAACCTGAAAACATCGAATTCATCCTTGCGCTACTTCAGATTTCTGAATTTTATTTCATTTTACTTTATTTTACTCTATAGGGTCTCATTATGTTTATTTCTTGATTCAACAATATTCTTAAGTGCCTTTCGCATTAATCTCTCTTAATATATCCCATCGAGAGTCATTTGAAAATTTTCAATTTTTTTTCGGATTTATTGCCGCAGGTACCTACTTTATGAAAATTATTTCTTTTTTTCCTTTTTTAATAAATTAATAAATGATAGGTAAAAGAATACTATTTAAATAATAGTAATAATTAAAACTTTTAATTAGTATGAAGTATTTTTTATCAATTGTACGTAGAAAAATATTCTCAGAAATTAATTAAAATAATTGTTTCTTTTCTTTTTGTGTTTGCAGGATAGAGTATAAAAATTTTCTAGATTTTAAATATCTAAATAATACGGATCTAGTTTTTTTTTATCTTTATTTATGGAAATTTAATATTGTGCAACTAGTGAATGCTAATGAGGAGTAAACAATGTTTATATCCGGTTTATAATTCTTTTATATAATTTGCTATTTTCATAGAATATCTTTAAATATAAAAGAAAAATATAATTTATCATTTCAAAAATTTCATAGTCTTTAAAATTGAAAAACTCAATTTTTTATATTTTCATTACACGAGAAGATGTTATTTAATAATAAAAACATAAATATTCAGGGAAAAGTTCGTTTGTCATATATAATGATAAATAATAAATATTACAAAAAATAATAAATAGTTTATTTTCTATAGTCTTCAAAATTGAAAAGTTTATCTTTATTCTCATCACATACGAGAAGCTAATATTTAATAAAAAAAATTTAAATACTCAGGGAAAAGTCAATTTTATAATACACAATAATAAAAAATAATAAATAGTTTATTCACTTTGAAGAAAATTTGTTTAGTCTAAATAAATATTTATTTGGTCTGTATTCAGAACAGATAGTTTCATTATTTCGGACAAATGTACATATTTTTCATCACCTGTTGATCTTAAAATTTAAAACTTCACTAGTTGATAACAATTTGAATTGTTTGAATTATTTGAAAATAAATTGTTTAATTTTCCACTTTAAAAAGTACAATGACGGAAAAAATATTCTTAAATTTTAAATGTCTAACGCACGAATATATTGTCAATTAAAAAATAATAATTCGACTTACCAATGAAAATGATTGTACTGAATGGACAGACATTTTACAATTTGTTATACACGTTTCGTTTAAAATCCCAATACTAACTAACGTTGCTTTTTACAATTATCTACTTTGATCATGAATATATATAAATATTGAACATAAATGGGGGAATTTGACATTTACGCGGAATCATCATGAATAAACGTCAATAGTCGTTTCTTTTTTCTTTAAAAAAATTTACACGTGTATGCTTTTATAAAAGTATTGAGACTTCAATTTTCAAATAATTATTCAAAAATATTTGAAGATCTTAAGAAAAGATTAAAATTAATTATAGCTCTAAACAATTGTTATAAATCTTCTTTTTTTTCGCAGATTTCCTTTTGATGCAGAGATGCAAAATATTCGGAATTGCATTCTTTATCTGCGGGGATTTTTTTAATGGATTGTCTGTACAACTTGATAGACAAATTGAAGAAAAGAAGAAATAAAGGAGAAGAAAAATCTATGGAAATTGTTTTTTCAAAGAATTGTCTGCACATCTTGATACAAATATTCAAAAAAAGAGGAAAAGAAGGAGACGAATGTTCAGACATTTTTTTAACGAATTGTCCGCACAACTTGATAGACAAATCTACAGACATTTTATTAATGGATTGTCCACACAACTTGATAGACAAATTAAAAAAGAAGAAAAAATAAGAAGGCGTAAAAATACAATAATCAAAAAGCAGTAAGTAAAGGAACAACAGAAGAAAATAGAACGTTGAAAAATTTATTTTATATTTTAATTATTTTATTATTAAATACAAATTTATTTTTTACAAAAAATATTTAGAAAAAATTCAGAGAGATTTAAAATAATATTCGCCTAAAGTTATGACCCTTCAAATGAATGAAATATTTTTTTCAACTCCAATATTTTTAAAAATTACTAAACTGAAATGTAAAACAGTTTTACTTAAAACAGGTGTAGTTTATAACATTTATGATTAACGATGATTAGAAAAAATATTTCTTATACCGAAAATTACAATTTTTGGTAAAAAAATTGTAATATTTTAATTTTTTAATCAAGAAAAATTTTTAAAAAATTTTGATTCAAGAATTTGACTTGAAAAATATATTTTTCTTTTAAATCGTTGATTATAAACAAATTTTTAACTTCAACAACGTAACTGCATATTTTTATATAATTATATGTCTATTTACAAGCTTGGTACAAATAAGGAAAATAAGTAAACTTAAGGAAAAAGTAATGAAAAAGTATTAAATTTCTAGAATTCATAAGAAAATTATAGATTTTGGTGTCCAGCAAAGTTTGTAAATATTAACAAGATTTAATTCATAAGCTTTGAAACTACCATAAATTCTAATACAAAATCTTTTCTTTTTTTCATTTCGGACAATAATATTGAACTTCACAGAGTATGAAATTGAACTTTATTTTAAATAATTCAATTTTTCATGAACTGTCATAAAATTATTACTTACCTATATAAATAATTTAATGAATAATATTTCTCTATTTAAAAAAGAACAAACATCTCACATGTCACACATGTCATATGTCACGTAGGTCCAACTTTTAAACGCGCGGCACAAGCACGAGTTCAGTCTCGTTTCACTTAAAAGTTCAAAAATAATTGAATTTTATAAAAGTAGCGCTCACAATTTTTATAAATCATTAAAATTAAAAAAGTTTCAAATTGAAATTTAAAAATTTGAATTTTACATCATTTTAAACCAAAATTATAAAGAAGTAAATTGTTGGAAAATTTTTATTGAAATTTTATTGAAATTGCAATTATGTAAAATAAAATTTTTAAAAATAATTGATTCAGAAGAAAATTCTAGTTAAAAATTTTAGAAAAGAATTCAATTTAAATTTTATGGGAATAATTTTGGAGAAGCTACTGTAGCAATTCTTATAAATTACTGAATTTCTAAATGTTTGAAATTAAATATTTTGTATTTTTGAAATCGTAATTCCTTTTAAAATTCAATAATAATCAAATATTTATTTTGAATAATTTAAAAAGTTCAGTCTATTAATTTTTAAAAATATTAGAATACAAAGAAATATTTCTACTTCTGACAATAATTTATTTTTAAATAACTTAATTTTTTAAGAACTATCATAAAATTATTATTTATAAATTATTTAATGAATAATTTTACTTATATATTTCAAAATGAATTGAATTTTAAAAGATTTGAATCTACAATTTTCATAAATTGATAAACTTCAAAAAGTTTTAATTTGAAATTTTAGAAAATTTCAATTTTCAATTAATTTAATTAGAAATTTTAAAGAACTTAGATTTTTGAAAAATTTTAATAATTCAAATGCTTCTGAAATTAGTTTAATTTTTATTTAATTAATTATTAAAAATAATGGATTTATAGAAGAATTTTAGTCGAAAACATAAAAAAGAATTGAATTTTGGAAAAGTTACAAATGATTGCAGAAATTCAATTATTTTCAAAAGTAATAAAATTCTTCTCAGAAATTCAATTATGTTGAAAAATTTAAAAATATTCTTGTCAAAATTTCAATTATATTTAGAAATAATAACATTCTTCTCCAAAATTCAATTATTTTCCAAAATTTTAATTAAATTCTTGGCAAAATTTCAATTATTTTCAATAATTTTTCTCAATTCAGTTATTGCAGTATTTATTCTTAAAAATTTTATGAAAATTTGTCGAAAGAATTCAATTATTTAAAAATTTGTTAATAAAATTCTGTATTAGAATTCAATTTTAAGAAACATTCAATTATTCAATAAATTATTTATTTTTGTATATAATTGAATTCTCGTAGAATTTTTTTTGATAAAAATTGATTTAAAAGTGAATTTTTGCTCAAGGAACTTTAGCAAAAAGTATTAAAAATACTTGATAAAATTAAATTCCTTCGAAATAATTTAATAAAATTTTTGAAAATAATTACATTTTTCGAAGAATTTACTTGAAATTGTATTAAAAATAATTGAAATCCAGTGAAGAATTTTGTTATTTATGAAAATAATTGAATTTTTGCAACGAATTTTATTAAATTTATTTTTAAATAATTGAAATCCTGTAAAGAGTTGTATTATTTATGAAAATAATTGAATTCTTGCAACGAATTTTTGAAAATAATTACATTTTTGGAGGAATTTATTTAAAATTGTATTTAAAATAATTTAAATCCTATGAAAAATTTTATTATTTATGAAAATAACTGAATTTTTACAACGAATTTTATTACAATTTTTATAAATAATTGAATTTATGTGTAAAATTTTATTACTTGTAAAAATAATTGAATTCTCGTAAAGGATTTTATTAAAATTTTTGTAAATAATTTAATTTTTTTAAATTTTATGGAAAGTTTAATATAACTAAGTTCTTGAATTTTATAAAGGTTTGAATTAAAAATTGTTTAGAAAATCTTAATTCCTTTTGGAAAAATAATAATGATTAAATATTTAAATAAAAATATTGATGCTTTCGAATAAATTTATAATTAAAGAAATTTTTTTGAGTATCTAATCATTTTTAGAGTGAATCAAAATATTTATTAGGATCAGAGAAAAAGTCAAAATTCTATCTGAAAATGAGGAAAAAATTAGGGAAAAACAAAATTAAATTTTTGTGGCAACATTAAGAAAACCTCAAAAATATTGCTATCGGACATAAATATTGAATTGAAATATTGAAAACCGCGAAATTTTGATAAAAAAGATGATCGTATGTTATTGCTACGGTTAATATAAAGTAGATAACAATGAATTACGCAGTTATCATTTCTATTCGCCGAGTGAGAACGACGCTATCGTTAAAAGAAGCAACTATCGTCTTCTTTGAAGTCGACAACTTCGTTCACAACCTTATCCACACACATTTTGTTTATGAATGGCTCATAAAAAGAAAAAGAAAATAAATCATTGATATTTAACAAAACATTTTCTTTATTTTGTTCATTAATTAATCACCGCCTTTTTTTTAGATGCGAACAAATGTTACTTCAACTAATGAAGAAATCGAATGTCATCCTCTTCTATTGTGGAATTGAGAGAGAAAGAGACCAAAAAAAAAAGAAAAAAAATTGCAATAGGGTCGTAGAGGACGTCTCAGGGCATAGACCCCTGCTCGAAGTAAAATCCGTCGATCGATGATGTTCCGGAGCATGACCACGGGATTCGACGTTGTTTGCAGCAGTCCTTTCGGAGTCGGCGCGATAGTAATTTACCTTCAAGCGCCCTCAGAGAGGGGTCTTATGGACCCTCTTGGTTTTGTTGCGAGTCAGAAACACATAAGCAACGAGTGATTCGAGTCTCATCCTCTGGAAAGCATTCTCACAAGGAACTTGATTTAATTGTCATTCCGCATTGTCATCGCCTTTTGAAACTGCCGCCAACTATTTGAGGTACATGAATATTTTTATTTTCACTTCATTAAAGAAACTGGGAAAAATCAATATTTTCTTTCATCACTTTCGTTTTTATTTTTGTTTTCATTTTGACAATTTTGTCTAATGATTGAAGAAATTATTGCAAATTCCAATTGTTTTCTTTAACTCGAAAGACAATCATCTTTTGAGATAAAGAAAAATGTTTCGATGACAGTAGTTTGAAATAATGTAAACACAGAAAAATGACAGGCGGGAGTTCAGTTTAAAGAACGAATCAGAATTCTTTGTTTTGTTTTTTTTTTTTTCGCTTTTTAAAGAATCGGAAGCAAAAACCATTTATTTTTATTCTATTTTTTTTAGTCGTTATTTAATTTTGATTTTTTTTTAATCACCATTAAAATTATTCTTTATTAATATTTTTTTAATTATTAAAATTACTCTTTGTTAATGTTTTTATTCAGTATTAAAATTACCGTTTATTCATAGCAATTTTAATGGTAATGGAATTGTAATTTCAAATAATGGCAAATTTATAAATACTTCTCATTTTAATGGACGGTTTTTTATAATGACTTCCCATAGAAACAGTTTCATATACACTTTAGCTTCATTTTTTAAATTTCTTATTGAAATTTCTATTTCTTCTTTGTCATTTTGTAAATTTATAAAAATATTTATTTTAAAAATTAAATTTTTTAAAATATTTTCTTCAATTTCGTTTGAGTGCAAATTTTTTAGTACAAATTTTTTTTAAAAGCCTTTGTCACTATATTAATTAATTAATTTTACTTTATTATTAAAATTCAAACTAGTTAATTACCATTTTTGATCAAATCTAAATTTATGTTTATAAATTAATTTATACTGTAAATATATTATTGATTATTAGAAATATTAAATTATAAATATTATTTATTACTATAAAAATATAAATGTTATATTATGTAGATGTTAAATTAGGAATATTATTTATTATCATAAATATAATTTAATTGGAATATTTTTATTAATTAAATAAATTCCTCTAACTTGTTATTTTTGTTTATATGAAACTTGATTTTATCTGTGACGTGACGTTTTATTTGAAAATACAAAAAGCAGCTGTTCGGCTTATGGGGGTACATTTTACTAACACGCATTAAAAGTCGACCAGCTGCAATCAATATTTCGTATACTTGTCACAAAATTTCTTAACTGAGACTTATTTCCATTAGATTAGAAATTCAAATTTCAATTTAAATTTAGCAATTAAAATCGGAGAGTACAAACAGCAGGAGATTATTTTTTGTTAACAATTCGAATCTGTCTCGTGTATACAGACAGTAATCAATATATGCGACACTTTTTGTTGACCGCATAAAAAAATTTGTGAATGATAGATAATTATTTTTTTATCAATATTTTCATGTTTGAAATAATAGAGAAAAATTTTCTTTTTGAAAAAGTATTCACAAAAAAAAAGAAAAAAATCTCTAATAGTCTCCGGTGTTTTGGGATGTAAACAAACAGGGGCGTTACGATGTCTTCACGAAATTTTTGATTCGAATAAAAATTTAGAGTCACGGGAACAATAAAAATCCATTTAGTTTTTGTTTACTTGAACTTTTTTATTTTAAGAAAATAAATCGTTTCACTTAATTTATTTATTTTTTCTTTCTTTTTTTTTGAAATATTGCCAGAAAGAACTGGAAAATTGATGAAGGTCAGAGGAAATTCTTTTTTATTTGCGGCTTTTCTTTGTTCTGAAAATTATTTTCTTTATTGATCTTTATTGATTAGTCAATTTAAAATTACAGTCGCAGTTAATTTCAATTAAGTTGAGATAATAATAGATTAAATTTAGTTTTTCTCTCTGAATTTTATAATTTTCTTCGTTAAATTTTGACCTATTTTTCAATTATGTCGATTGTGTCGATTGCCTCTCTAGACAAGAGAATTTATCCTGTGATGAGACTTTATTAACGAACAATAGAAACATCTTTCGAAATCCAAGCACTTGATGCTTCAATTTCTTCCAATCGAAACTAGTTTACATATTTCTCTAAATACATTTCAGGAAAGAAATCTTCACATAAAAAATGACTTTTCTGATTTCTTAGATAAAGTTTAGAATAAACTTTTTTATTTTTTATTTTTCTTTATTAATTCTTTTTATTGATAATTGCATTTTTATTTTTCTCTATTTTTTCTATTAGCAAAAATTTGTTAAATATTCTATTAAATTATAATTATGAACAAATAATAAGAAAAAGAAAAAAAAATATTTTTAAAAAAATGTAAATGTTTTGAATAATATTATTCAAAAACTCTAGAAATTAATTGAATTTTGAAAGACTAGCAGTTCAAATTTTCATAAAAAATTTTTCAAATGAGGGGCTGGATGCTATAATGTGTTACGCGTGAACACACGGCCAGTCAGTTGGGTCATGGAGAGAAAATTTTGAAGTTGTTCAAAATAAATTTAAAATTATTGTTTCTTGTTCAGAATGTCAAGGCGAAACTTTTTTTCTAATAAAATTTTTTTATATAATTTTTTGTTTTTAAGTAAATTGAGAAAAGCGTGATTTTTTAACCTAAAAAATTTTAATGAATTTTTGACTTCAACTCGTGATTACTTCGTTAAATATTAATATTTTTCCACGAAATTTACACACAATATTCTTCAAACTAGTTCAAAAGTGAAACAATATTTAATAATTTTTCAAAAAATTCTATGTCTAAGTAAATAATTATTTAAATAATTTTGCCGGAAAAATGATTATCCTATTTTCAATTGGAAAAGTTGAGTGACGAATTTTCGTTTTCGGAAAACTTCCAGTGACTAAAATGTTCATCAATATGTTAGGAAGTTTTTTGGAAAATTTTTCGTCATTTGATAATAAATTAAAGAAAATAGAGCAATTTTAACAGTGTCGCGCTCTGCTGTAAAATTACGGCGTGGCCGCGCACGTGTGGAATGGCCGCCATTACAAGACCAATGTATACAGTGAGTCAATGTTTACGTTTACAGCAGAGCACGACGCTGTTAAAATTGCTCTATTTTCTTTAATTTACTATCAAATGACGAAAAATTTTCAAAAAAACTTCCTAACATATTGATGAATATTTTTGTCACTGGAAGTTTTCCGAAAACGAAAATTCGTCACTCAACTTTTTCAATTGAAAATAGCTGCATCATTTTTCCGGCACATTTATTTAAATAATTATTTACTTAGACATAGAATTTTTTGAAAAATTACTAAATATTGTTTCACTTTTGAACTAGTTTGAAGAATATTGTGTGTAAATTTCGTGGAAAAATATTAATATTTAACGAAGTAATCACGAGTTGAAGTCAAAAATTCATTAAAATTTCTTAGGTTAGAAAATCACGCTTTTCTCAATTTACTTAAAAACAAACAATTATATAAAAAAATTTTATTAGAAAAAAAGTTTCGCCTTGAAATTCTAAACAAGAAACAATAATTTTAAATTCATTTTGAACAACTTCAAAATTTTCTCTCCATAACCCAACTGACTGGCCGTGTGTTCACGCGTAACACATTATAGCATCCAGCCCCTCAAATGATTTTACATTCAAAGTATTTCGAAATTTTAAGCAAATAAAGAACAATAAGTATATTTAAATATTTATTTTACAAAAATGATTGAAATTTGAAAATTCTGAACAAAATTAGGTTTTTAAAAAATAGTAATTAAAATTTTTTGACTTGAATTCTCGAAAATAATTTTTAAAAAATTGAAACAATTGAAAATTTTTTGAAATTTTATTAAAATAAATGTTATATTTTAAATAGTTTTATTTTTTCATGTTTAGAAATTATCTATAAATATAATTGTATTCTTGAAAATATATTATTTTATGAATTTACAAAAATTATTCTAATTAAATTAATAAAATTATTAATTATTTATTTATTATTATTATTATTTATTTATTATTTATTATTATAAATTAAATTATTAAATTATTAATTATTATTATTAATTATTAATTAATAATTATTTAATAAATATAAAAAAAATTTATTTATATATTATTATTTTATTTTATTATATTTATTTATAAATTTTTTATAAAAAAAAAAAAAAAAAAAAAAAAATTTATAAAAAAAAATTTTTTTTTTTTTTTATTTTATTTTATTTATTTATTTATTTATTTATTTATTTTTTTTTTATTTAAAAATTTATTTTATTTATTATTTAATTATTTATTTATTATTATTATTATTATTATTATTTATTATTAATTATTAAATTATTAAATTATTTATTATTTATTATTATTTATTTATTTTTATTTATTATTTATTTTATTTATTTATTTATTTATTATTTATTTATTTATTATTAATTATTTTTTATTTATTAATTTTATTATTCTAATTCAATTCTCGTAGTTGAATTCTGATAGGAATTGATTTAAAAAAATTACAGTTAAAATTTTAGAAAATAATTGAATTTTTAAAGCGTTATAATAACAGAAATTTTAGGAATTAATAAAATTAAAAAAAAATTTTAATTAAATTCTTTGGAAATTTAAGGGAAGCAAAACTAAAAAAATATTTTAAATGTTTATTTTAAAAAATTATTAATTACATTATTTTTCTTTAAAAATTCTTAAATTTTGGGTAATTTTATTCAAAAATTCTAAGAAAATAATTGAATTTTAGAAGAGTTACAGCAATTTTTAGAAACAGTTAAATTTCAAAAGGTTTTTTATTGAAATTAGTAGAAATTTGAATTCCTATTGAAGAATATGTTTTTAAATTTTTGTTTAACAAAAAGTATTGAAGTTTTGAGTAAATTAATTTAGATATTCCAAAAAAATTTGTTTCTTGAAAAATTGTAATAAAAATTTTTTAAAAATAATTTTATTTCCGAAAACAATAATTTTAAAAAATTGAAACAATGGCAAATTTTGTCAAATTTCATTGAAATAAATTTTCTTTTTAATGAATTTTATTTGTTTACTTTTAAAAATTATTTAAAAATATAATTGTATTTTTGAAGAA